AATCTCTTCCTCCTCCTCAATTTTCTTCTTTCTCCTTTTTTACCCAACCCACCCCTTCCTCCATCTGTTCCCCCTGCTCCTGTCTTTGTCTGCCTGTCTCCCCTTCCACCCCCCGCTGTGACGAGTCTGTCTTACGTCCCTCTCTCAGGCCGTGCACCTAGCAAGGTGTCTTACCCAGGGGTCATTCAGGATTTGTCCCTGGAAATGACCAGAGAGCCCCAATCTAACCCTCATCCCAGGCTGGTCCCGAGGGACAGGACAGTACAGCAGCAGGGTCACTTGTTCACAAGAAGTCGTTTGAAAACAGAGCTCGCCCTTTCAAACTGGCCCAGATTCCTGTGTTAAAGGATACTGAAGAACAGCAAAGAGAATGCTTCCTGGAGGAGGCAAGCCGCTGCCCTTGCATCACTGCCCACTGTGTTTTAGATCCAAGGGATATGAAATGGGTTCCTGGGAGCTTCTACTTGATACTAATTCAGCTGAATTTAGAAAGGAGAGGGAGAAGCCTAAATGAAGTTGATTTATTGCTTATTTTTCCTGTGCCTGAAATGCTTCCTGGAAATACTTCTCCTGACTTGAAGGAGCTGGGGGGATGCAAAGGCTGTCCTGAGGGAGCAGGACACAGAAGCAGGACCTTCTTCCCAGTTCTCCCACACCCTTTCCTCGGCTGGTCCAGTGACCTTTACTTGGGATGTCTTGCTGACCTCAGCAAAGATTTGTTAAGTAGTGTGTGTAGATTCAAATTCACAGGCCCCTGGGGGGGAATATCTTTAAGGAGGTGCAGTGAAGTCACGTCCTTTATGTACACAAGAGTTTGCTTCTAAACTCAATGCTGAGGGCGAGAAAAAATGTTTCTAGACAGAAATCATCCTTCTGAATCTCTTACATCGTACATAAAGCACAGCATCCCCGGTTCTGTGCCTGCGACTGGCGCAGTCAGTCTTACGAACAGGGAACTGGAGAACCTCTAAGCTCAGCGAGGGGAAGGCGAAGATAGTCCCCATCTGGCTGACTGCATGCTCAGGACCTTCTGCTCTCTCATCACCCTGGAGGAGCACAGACTGAACTGGAGCTGGGATGGGGTGATGAGGTTTCAGTTTGGGTTGGGTGGTTGTTTTGAGGGAGGTAATTTCTAGAATTCCAGACCCATGTGCATTAATTCCCTCCAACTTGACGGGCCACCCCGGGCCAAATCCCTGTGGCACCCGCTACAGTCTGAGGTCAAAGCCGTGGGCCCATTGTACAGATGGAAAAGCTGAGGGCCAATGAGACAGCAGGGCTTGCCTGAGGCTGTTTAGAAGGTTAGTGGTGGCAGCTGCTAAAAGCTTACTTCGTTCCAAATGACCCACTTTTCTGCACTTATCAAAAGTTTTAAGTTAAAATAAAAGGAAGTCCAATTATGGTCTCTCAGAGGATGGCCTGAGACGTGTCGGGGTGCAGGCCGCCTCCCCTCCTCTGGGAAGAGGTATTTGCTGCCCCTGAGCTCTCTCAGAGAAAGTCGCACAAACGGACTGCTTTGCTGTTTTTATGATGTACACAACACCGGCCCTGTCATTCACCTGAAGGTGGGAATTTTTGTCTGTTTTGTTCACAGCTCCAGTGCCGAGGGTCTAGGGCAGCTCCTTGCATGCAGTCAGTGCTCCATGGATGCTGGGGGGCACCAGGCCCGAGGGGGCGCAAAGCGTGGCCTGGGCCACCTTGGCCCAGAGCCCGGCGCCTGTGCCCTAGTCCAGTAAGATTTCTTCCACCTCAAAAAAACCAAAAAACAAAAGAGAGTGAGCAAATGACTCTTTTGCTAAACAACTGATTGCTTTTGTGTAAAAAGAAATTTATTTTATAAGACAGTTGCAAGTCACCACCTTACCCCCAGGTAAGAGGTGACTCTGCAAATGAGTGCAGTGGAAACAAAGCCACGCTGTTTAATTCCAGCGTGACGCACCTGTCACCAGAGGCTCTGGCCAGAGGTCTGCCCTCTCTTTGTTAAATGGGAAATTCTCAAGTGAAAGGCATGTGCAAGGGCTGGATTAGCATGAAGCCAAGACTTCCTCCTTAAGGAAATCAGGAGGCTGAGATAGATTCTACAAGGGAGTAAGTCTCACGGTGTGAGTCAATGTTATTTAACACCGTGTCTGTTTCCTCCTTCCAGTCCTGTCCGGCGTGCTGGTCCTTCCAGGATTCCGGCCCCACGCTTTGGGAAGCCCAGGTCTGTAGCAGAGCAGTGGCCTGAGAGGATAGTGCTGTGGGGAGATTTTTGGAGGCAGGGGCAGGAAGAGAGGGGAAGGAGGTTGTCAGGTTGCTAAAGGCGTGTGTACCCAAGGCTGTGTCCATTGGAGGGAGTCCCCGATTTTGGATCAGGAAGCCCGAATCCTACAAATAGTCTGAGCACCATGAGTTTTAACAATAAAAGCCTATTTGAACTGGGACCAGGGGACATCAGGAGGCGAGGAGGAGAAGGATGGAGAGCGAATGCCAGATGCTCACCCAGCATTTGCCTTGGACCTCGGGCGGCAGAGGGGGCAGCTATCTCCTCCACGTGCAGTCGTCTTCCCTGCAGCGCTCACTGTAGCAACAGGCAGGTGTCACAGCCACGGGGCTGAATTTTGGGAGGTGTCCACAGGTTCCCAACC